CTTTGTCCCCATCTGGAAGTAACAAGAGACAGCAAGAGAACAGAGTACTTTGTTTTTGGAGGGATTGGCTCATTAATTTGCAGGGTAAGCTTAAATAAAAACAATGTGTATCATTATTAAGATTTGAAGACCTCTTTAGAATTAACTAAATAAATTTAATAATTGTAATGGCAAAATAAATCTGCTAATTCATATCTACACATTTATGATGCAATGAATGAGTTAGAGTTCTGTTTTAGGTGGTTGTATTTGTACAGATAATTATGTTGCATTTACTAAATGTGTAAACGTGTCAATCTACTACTGCATTTCAGGAGGCCAATGTGAACCAGTCACTCTAGAGAAGCTCCTGATCTTTGTTTCTGGCCTGGACAGGCTGCCACCACTGGGCTTTCTTTCTGCTCCCACCCTGGAGTTTCTACACCAAGACTCTGGTGAAAGGAGACCACTGCCCGAGGCAAACACTTGTACAGTGTGCATTAGGTTACCGCTGCACCAATCGTATGAAGAATTCCAGAAGTGGATGAATTCTGGCATATTACAAGCTTAAGGTTAGGAATATTAAGTTTCACACTTAATTTAATTTTGGCACTCTTGGCCCTCCATATACATGTTTATGTTTTACATATAATGCCAAGGCCACATTGCATATTTGTTTTAATGTTTAATGGCAATTTTAACATGTCATCTTTGTTTAAAAATGTGTGACGATGTTTTTTTGAAAACAAAACAAATGAACCATTGTTTTGTCTGTTATACATTGAAAGTAAATGATAATTGACACCAATCACAGCATTCGACTTTTGATTTATGATCAGATGTGTTCGAAACAGCTAAAAATATAAACATAGATCATGGAAAAACTGTCGTAGGTATTCCAAATGGTATGTCCAAGGTTATCATCGAAAATATCAGTTGTTCCTCAAGAAATCAAGAACTTGTGCTAAAAGGTCAGTTCCCATGCTATCCCTTGCACCTGCCAGGGGATTAACTAGTTGGAAAAGTTCTTGAATGGATCTTTCCTCTAGATGAAACTGCGTGGTAGGAACTTGAACTTCTTCTGGCCAGTCAAACTCTGGCGGAGCTGCTGGTGCCATCTGTACTTCTGAGGGAGGGTTGGCCTCTTGATCCACAAAAAGACCTCTGATGGCAGTTCGGTTCTGGGTTTGCTGAGCAAGGCTACCTTGAATAAATATCTGGTATGGAGACATGTTACCTTGCTGTCCTTATTTTATGATGGTTCCACTGATTGACAAATAATTGAAGATCTCGATTAATTCTTGGCAAGTACACATAATGGAGAGCCCACAGGTACATTTCATTGTTGCTGTCTAGAATTCCTTCATTCTCTAAAAAAGTAAATAACAAATGGTAAATGTTTGTGAGTCCTTTCCAAACATCTCCCCATAGTCTCTCAATTCTTTGATTGTGGGTGCTCCTCCCTCTGAGTGCACTCCCTCTAGAAGAACCTCTGAAGACCTCCATAAACATGCAAACTGCATTATTCTCTCCACCTTGATCGCAGCGAACTCTGGAGGGCACCCCATATATGCTAACGGCATCCACAAAACTATTCAGAACTGTACTGCTATAATTATTAGTAGAAGCTTTGAGGAAGATGACAAGCCTGCTGTAGCCATCAATCCCGCCATGAATGACAATTCTCCATCTTAAAAAAAAAAATGTATAAAGTTTACACACATGAAAGACAAAGGACTATAAATTTAGGTGCCACAGCGATATTTAGTCATTGCATCATTTTGGTAAAGTAAAAACAGGGAAAATTACCACATACTAGGGGTGGCACGGTTCACAAAACCCACGGTTCGGTTTGTATCACGGTTTTAGGGTCACGGTTTTCGGTTCTGTACGGTTCTTGTTATTTTTTTCTTTTAATCTTTAACACTCCAGAAATGTACTTCAGCATATGATATATAGCTTANCCTACCTGTTCATCATTCTCCCCCCTCCCCGCTTGTGACGTACACACAGTCTCCCTAGAAGGCGTATTAACTCTCTCCTTTAACTCACTGTTATGTTGGATGAGAGCCAGTCGCTCCTCTAGGTCACGAACCTGGACCATGAGTGAGTCAACTAACCTACATCGCTCGCAGACGAAGTCCGAATGGACGCAAGCATCCAGAAGGGCAAACATCTTGCAAACACAACACTGAGCTGGCCCCATAATTACCTAACTCACTATGTCCCTGTCCTTTACTCCCAGCCCAGTATATTAATATAGAGTATTTAAACTTTTAGTTGATCTAATTAACGTATAGTTAAAACAAAGTGCCGAGTTCACTAAAACACTAAATTTACACTTGCGTTAAATCGGTACTTTATTATAAATTATCCGGCAGCGTCAGCGATAACAACCTTTAAATTAAACTTTTAAAATAACCAAATTTACAATTACTTACCCGAGATTAACTTCCTGCTGAACCACATTTAGCTAAACTAAAGCGAAGTTGCTCTAGGGAGGCCAAAAAACCACAAAAAAACCCCTCTCAAAGCAGGCTACTGCCGGAGCGGGAAAAAAAGTGGAAAATGTCCTCCCGGCCCCGACCGGCGACCGAGCAAAGCTCAGGAGCAACTGTCCTTTTAGAGTTAATGTTACTGATGTTCGATAATATTACCTGCGGGTGTTTGATGCGAAGAACGCAGACAGAAACGCCGCTCGCGCCCGCAGCTGTCGGTAACACTCACGCTGTCAATTAACAAGGACAGACAAGTACACACGTAAAAATAAAAGTTAAAAATGAAACAACAACAACCACCCACGAAACCGTGCTGGCACACAAACACTCAAATATACTTTACAGATTATTCAAATCAAATCAACCGCGTCAACAGGCGCACAACACAAGCAAGTGCACACAGCGACTACACCACTCCCGCACAGTACAGCAATCCCAGCAGCCTCTACAGCAATCCCAGCTATAACTAGATAAACAGACTTCACTCTCGTTTGTATAGTTCTTATGTTCTTAAAATTGGTTAATAGACAGGAAGCTGCAGGTAGTTATTAGAGTCACAGTGGGCCTGTGTTCATAGTGGGGTATCGCAGGGTTAAATTTTAGGGCCACTGTTATTCCTAATTTACATTAACAATATAAACAACAATAAATGCAGTAAACTGGTTAAATTTGCAGACGACACCAAGGTGGGTGGCATGACAGATACTGAATTAGCAGCACAGAGGCTACAACGGGATCTTGATTTCATTAGCGACTGGGCTGATACCTGGCAGATGAAATTTAACATAGATAAATGTAAGGTAATCCATGCAGGGAACAGAAATACAAAGTACAGATATTTTATGGGTTCCACTGAAATGAAGGTAGCTGATTATGAGAAAGATCTTGGAGTATATGTTGATACTTCCATGTCCCACTCTTGATTCCTGGTCTTAGAGGAATGTCTTATGAGGAGAAGTTAGCTGAGCTGAATATGTTCAGCCTCGAGCAAAGGAAACTAAGGTAGGACATGATCCAGGTATGCTGTTCAATCAAATAATTACTTCAATATTAGTTCAAATACAAGAACTTGTGGCCATAGGTGGAAATTAGTGAAAGAACATTTTAAACTGGACTTCTTTACACAGTGCACAGTTAGAGTATAGAATTGTTTTCCTGTTAGTGTAATGCAAGCTAAAACCTAGTTCACAGCAAGTGTGTTTAAAAAGAACTTTTGCCAAATGTATGTGATTCGATCTCTATGAATATTGTGGATGATTTTACTATCTTATAGATGTAAGATGCATTATTTGAGCTTATTGAAAACCAACAAAATTTCTGATCTCATATACATCTAATAAATTTGATCATTTTGATGGATTAATTTCCACAAATTTCTCCATAGGACACCATGTTTTCTTTCTTTCAAGGCAGAAATCTTGCTTTATTAACATTGTGAAAAGATTGGTGATTAATAAATAAATAAAATGTGTTTATAAGGCCACCAAAAGAACAATTTTTTGTTTGTCCATGCCATTTAGGCTAGCTACCTTAATGGTGAACATACCTTGGTGAATGGAATCTGAACCTCTCCCACTCTTACAGCGTGCACATTCTGGCATCCCATTGTCCAAGAGTCCCCTACCTCGCTCTCTCCACTCCCCTTTGTGAGGGACTTCACTGTTGTGACTCCAACCCTCAAATTTAAGATAATCACTGTTGGATGCTTATGATATTGTCACTCTTATCAGTGATGGACATAAAACACTGACTGAAATAAATTTGTCATTTATTCTTAAGACATAGCTCAGTCATTGCACAGACCTTGGAAAGGAAACAGCCTACAAAGGCTATGTATACTGTGTCTTTCGAAGGATGTAACTGGTTCCACCATTGTAGTGTTTGGATCATTTGGCCCTGGGAAGTTTTGTGTCCAGCGTTATGTACGACTTAAGATTATAATGTCTGAAGTAGAGGAACGCCAAACCATTTTATACAGTAGTACATCTGCCAGTGTGTAAAAAAAAACCAAAAAAACAAATGGCAGCATATTACTGCTTCTAATAATGTGGTCATTTCAACAAATCGGACAAAGACAGAAATGGAAAACATGGCCAGATTTAAAATTTGTTGAACTAATGTTCCTCCTCTCTATGTGGTTGATGAAATGGGGGTAACCTATTCACATTCATGAGGTTTAGGGGCACAATATTCCTGCAAATGTGAAAATTCATGAATAACCTCAACTTCCTGCTAGCCTGAGCAATAACTTTATTACCAATATGTAAACAAACAGCACTAAAAATGCATTACTAAAAATGCACAATTAACCACGCTGAAAAGTTTAACGCTCAGTCAAAGACAGCTAACATGCGAGGCAAGACTTTTAATATTAAAGACACAGTATGCAATTACACTAACAAATATTATGCATCACTAATAATTAAATACACGAAAAAGCAAAGGTTTTAAAAAGTAGCTAATTCTGGTTTATATGCAGAAAGGTAATAACCACCCTCCCACAAGACAAAATGTACCACAATATTGTCAAATACATGTATTTTTATTGTGTAATTCTGTAGTATACATCAATACATGCTTGACAGTTCAACAAAAAGTTATAAATGTACATGACCGCAAATTATTTTGGTAGCCATCCCAAAATAAGCAGTTACACGTGTTGTTTGGAGCAAAGCACAGATGGGGCACATTTCACATGGCAAACAGGATGAGGAAGGCCACCATGAGACAGAACAGACCCATGGCTTCAGACAGAGCGAATCCTAGGATAGCATAGGAAAACAGCTGCTGCTTCAGAGAGGGGTTTCTGCAGGAAAACACCAGAACATGCAATCACTCCACTACACTGGGAGCAATTTTAAAAAGTGGCTAGCGACTTAGTCTATACCTGGCATATCCAATGATGAGACTGCCAAACACAGTTCCAATCCCGGCTCCCGAGCCAGCCACGCCCACGGTGGCAGCTCCTGCACCAATGAACTTAGCAGCGGTGTCAATGTCTCTGCTGACAGCACTGGTTTGTAAGTTCCTAAGTGCTACTTGGATGAAGGGGATCGGGGAGTCCTGAGGAAAAACAAACGCATGTTACAAGAACCAGGACTGGAACTGCTTATCAAAGACCTGTTTAGAGCGCATCTCCTGTTCACTCACATTGTGCAAGAAAGAAAAAAAAGCAGCATTTGAAGAACAAAGCAGCAACAAATGGGGCTGCTGGGAGGGTCGCACACCTGTACAGTTTGCACCTCAGGTCGGGACAGCATGGATGCAGAGAGTGGCCTGTAGAGCACCCTGGAGCCAGAACGGACCTGCATCCCACACATACGTAGAAGAATGGCTGTAGACCCAAAATTTCATTCCACACAGCATGCTACAAATCTAAAGAACTGTATTCAGAAGAACTAAACCAGCATTTCAGTTTGCAATATTCACTGTAATATGATCTATACATTGATTGGGCTGACCAAGTACACAAGTCAAACTTCACTGACAACAGGCTCATTTAGTCCACAGTCTGTAAGCAGCTTAACAAATGTGTGTAACATACAGAAAGTTGCTTAAAAGTTCATGTAGTTATATCTGAACCTCTGCCACCAAAGGCTGCAGGTTCAGTTCCCAGCAGCTACTTCACCCATCTAATCTTGGAGTTGAGGAGCTAGAATTGTCCCAAGGTAAAAGTGTAACTGTTATATTGAAATAGAAATTCTCAGAATTAAAAACATTGTCTGAAAAATAAGCCTAATTTATTGAACATATTATAGAGCACTGTAATGTTGCCATGTCTTACATTAATATGCAATTACCCTGAAAAGAATAGTTTACAAACAGACGGTTTATTGCCCTGAATCTAAGAGATCTTTTAATTGTATTGACTGCAAATTTGTCCTGAGTTAAAGGACGTTGTTATGAAAAAGAGAGGTTCGTGCTGCAAGAAAACCTTATCAATGCTGTCGAGTAAATGAGAGAAAATAACGTAATGAGAGAATTGGTAACGTGGAGAACGACATTCACTTACAATACAAAATAAATAATGACCTTGAAGTGGGGGGAAATGGCTTATCGGTTAGCTGCATACATATAATTAGCTAAAAGGAACATGGCCGCATATTGCAGGAGACAAGTGGAGGATTAACATTCATCACTTACAGCTTATAAAATTTTGACCTCAATGGCTGAGTATCATGGTGTTTATCATCTTTGAAACAGTGCCTGTCCAACATTAAACAGGCCCATAACCAGCACAACCATTAGTATTTGCTCTAGAATACGCGAAAACATACCAGAGTAGGAGCAGAGACGAATTTTGCACAGGCGTACATATTCAGTGGATCTTTTGAGCAGATCGTCTTGAATTTAATAAAATCTACAAAGACAAAACATAACTAAGGTCAAACGACATTTCCGTGAGCAAATTCCACAAAAGGAGAATAAAACATACATTAAGATCACAGATGCACATGCATAACAAAGGTGTGATATTCACCATGCGATAGAAGTATGTCCACAGAACAGATGAAATATGATTGTGATGAAGACGGTGTAACAGCGCCCATTGAAGCTCTGACCACTTACCAGCTGCAGAGGTCGATGCGCCGGAGGCACAGACCGCATGCGCACGTCTTCCCGTCGCAGGTCCCCGGATGATCCGCTGTGACAACACTGTCACGCGACCTTGTCACCACTGAGGACCTTTTCCAAATCCTCAGCACTCTGGCAGGTAGTGTACACCGTGTGTATTCACAGGCTGAATCTCAAGCCGATCCCTACTCACTTGCACATCACTACGGAGTGACGCTGCGGGTGAAGGCACACTCGCAGCTGCGCAGGGTTCCCCAGATTAAGGGGAAGGGTATAAAGAAGTTACTAAACTTAGCAATGTGAAGCTGGCAAGAAAAGTGGGGAGACTTCCGGTCGCTATTTCCGGTTATTGTGTCAAAATAGAAGTTCGGTTTTCATACGCAATTAATGCATTTAATGGTACATTATATGCAAGAATAATAAATAGTGCTGTGATATTTTATACTTACATCGCCAAATTTTATCATAAATAAAAGTAAATATATTAATAGATTAAGAAAATTATATATTTATATATTGGAACTTAGTCCCCCATGGGAAAATAGACCTCATTTCACATAGGTCAATGTATACGCATAAGACAAATTTAAAGGATTGTGTCAGCTTCAAAAAAAAATTAAAAGTACATTCTACTTATGCTTTTGAATATCAAATAAGTGTCCGCAAAAAGTTTGATGGGTTTGCAACATAGTCCACCCCCCAACATGAAATTGGACCTGATTTTAAATAGGTGAACTATATATACATAACACAAATTTCAAGGATTTTGTCAGCTTCAAACTTAGTTAAATACATCCTACTAATGCTCTTTGAATAGAAACAAGTGTCAGATATATCAAAAAAGTGTCATCAAAAAGTTTGCTGGGTTTGGAACATAGTCCCCCCTACACTAAATTAGACCTGATTTCACATAGGTCAAATCCATATGCATAACACAAATTTAAAGTATTTTGTCAGTTTCAAACCTAGTCAAGTACATTCTACTAATGCTCTCTGAATAGAAACAAGTGTCAGATATATCAAAAAGTGTCATCAAAAAGCTTGCTGTATTTTAAATGCAGTCCCCCAAGGCGAATTTACGCCTGATTTTACATGTTTAAAATGTATATGCATAACACAAATTTACAGGATTTTCTCAGCTTCAAATTTAGTTAAATACATTCTATTAATGCTCTTTGAATAGAAAGAAGTGTCAGATATATCAAATAAGCGTCAGCAAAAAGTTTGCTGGGTTTGGAACATAGTCTCCCCATAATATTATGTGTTCTTAGTTCATATTCTTTAATTTTCCTCTTGTCTTCTGCAGAAAGCATGGTATAATTGCCACCGAACGACAATGTCTTCGCAAATAAGCAAACAAATAAACCACAGCTACTATTGTCTCTATGTTTTTTTAAAAATGGACAATTTCTATTTCGAATTGTAACTATCACATCATTGTACAGTATGAGATACTGGGCAATTAAGAATTTTTGCAGTGCTTTGAGAATTAGTTTTATTTCCATTGTGTATATGTCCAAAGAATCCACGATGCGTGCACGAATCATTATACACTTACCATTTTTAGTAAAATTCTGCATGTTAAAGGACACAACAACTCAATGTGATGATTTTATGCTAAATGGGACAACAACATTATTAAAACACCACCAGTTACTTTTGTATGGCATATCTCTGTTGAGTAATCTTGTTCTAAGACTGCTTCTTCACTGAAATCATAGGACAGAAGACAAAAATCTGCTTTGGAGATTATTTTTACAATATTACTACAATATTGTTTACAATATTTTACAGTATTATTATCAATCAGAGCATGTGAGCGGAGAGGAGCGGAGCAGGCGGAATTTGGTCAGAACGCGGAGCGGTTTTCTAATTAAGGCTGGAGCGGTCACTCTGGTTCTCTCCAATTTCGCTCCAATACCGCTCACACTACGATTCTGAGGCGTGCCCAAGTCTACCCAGAATTCATCTGTACAATTATCAAGACTGTTACACAGACTGGCCGAGATGGAATTCGCAAAGGAAACTGATAAATCATACAAGTGTACTATTCTTATCAAACGTATAGATGACAATAGTGTAGCGCAAGAACAACAATGTGGTGAAACTGTTTCAGTGAGTAAAGATTCACTTTGGAATCACTTTTCTCAGAAACATGAGTGTGCTACGCGAACAGGCAGAAGCCAGAGCAAAATGTGAGCAAGTTTTATATGGTTGTAGCATATCAAGTATATAAAGTAAATTAAAGTATAAAAGTCTATAAAGTAAATATTGGTAATCAAATAAATTCGTTTTGTCATTCAAAGTAGGTCTAATAGGATTTTTTTTATTTCACGTAACCCTGTCAGTGAAATTTTATTTTATAGAGAGACGCAGCAGCATCAACAGAAAAAAAATTATGAATTTAAAACGTGTCACAGTAGATGGCGGGTGAGCGGTGAAGCAGGAGAGTCCAGCCGGTGATACGAACAAACGGGGTTTATTGACGCACACTAGTAACAACACCATAACAATACAATGACGGATCTGGGTAGACTGACTGAGACAAGGACTAAATACAAAAGACAAGCTACTGGTAACGAGCCACAGGTGAGAACAATCAGGGAATCACACGAGGTAACGAGGTGGGCGTGGCACACATCGGGATCGAACGGAGCGGATCGTGACAAAACGTGGATGCTTAGCCCGTATATTCTTTAGGCTATTAAGCCCACTGATTCCTTTATTTTTAAGCCTATTTTTGTGTGGAATGCCATTGCCAGACCTGTGGCCTGTACTACGAAGCGGGGTTACTGGCTTATCGGGGTAACTTTGCGAGTAACTTGATGACGTGTGGTGTAACTTCGCGATTAACCCGTACTACGAAAGGTGGGTAGGTTTTAGTCGAGACATGTTGCTATGGCAATTTACCCTAAGTCTCAAAACTGCTCCGAGCAGTTTTTGTTCTTAAGTCGAGGTTTCTGCGTAAGCCAGCCCTATATGAGCACCGCCCCTCCCACTACAATTTCTCCGAAAACAATGCCGGCGTA